TGGATATACGCCTGGAGCACCATGCTGCAACTGGGAGAGACAGGTGCATCATCAGCCACTGCAGGCTCGCATGTTTAACTACTGCTAAATCCATCAACTGTTTCCAACATATAGGCAATGCTTCGACAACTCTAAGCAATGAATCTTGTATCCAATTAGTTGCCATCCATCTGTTCGCCACTCTCCAATTGATGTCCAGTTCTGTCGTGGACAACTGGTAACCCAATTTGGTGGAATAGTGATACACAAATACAATTTGATGCCTCTGTTTGGGGTTCTCCCATCCCCAACTCCTGGGATCTACAGACAATAGGTAGGCCGGGTAAGAAATACAGTAGGGTCTATACGACTCTATAGCCGTCTTGGTACCGCAATACACACACAGAAAGCAATTCTTCAATAGGGGGGACGGGCAATCTGTGCTTGCACCGAGGAGGGTTTTGGCCCGCTTGTGCGGATCTATATACCACATTGTTGTGGAGCCAAGGTGAGTTTCTCCCCAATTGACATCCATCCACCTTGCGTAATCCGACAGGAGAACTGGATGTTGGCCACCGGAGAATAATCTTCCATTTTTCAGACCACAGTCAGTTCATGGTCCTGCCCCAGTTTGTACCACGTCTCGTTCTCAACTGTCAGGCCTTTACGCAGCGTTTCCACCCAATAGTGCTGAACTGCCTGTTGGACTTGAATCGGATGCTCCCTCTGGTGCCACCACAGGCCAACAAGAGCTGGGGCCAGCTCTGAGGAGAAAGGGTTTCCAGCCCACATTTTGTACATCCCAAATATCAACAAGGGTCCCTATGCCCCGCGACATCCACGCATCACCGAACGCCCCGGGTCCAAAACAGGGAAAAATTATACCGTCCTGTGAAAGGGGATACGGGGGTTCTTAAAAATACAAGCGACTTTTGGATGAGGGTGACATCGGAATTCCTCACGAAATAAAAGATAAAAAAATAAAACAACACAGTTACAACAGAATCACACTAAGGCTCCCCACCTTTATTTTTAGCCCCTTAAAAACCAATTTATACTTCCCTTTCCCCCCGCTTGACAGCCAACGCTCGAAAAAGGAAAAGAGCCCGGATTTGGGGTCCTCTGGCCATGCTCAAAAAACCTCCCCCCCCCCCCCCCCCCCCTCCCAAAAAAAAAAAAAAAAAAAAAAAAAAAAAGAGAAAAAAAAAAGAAGAAGAAATAAAAGGACGATTATTCAATTATTGCCTGCACGGGGCTGCCCCGTGCAAGTGACCCTCAGGTGCCTTGCCCAGGTTGCATGGCCGTGCTACACGGCCACGTGAGCCAAGTAGCCTTTGCTTTTTTTTTTTTTTTAACAAACAATTTATCATTTGATTGCCTTCTCTGCACGTATATGGTGCACCAAGGCACAGACCCAGCTGAACTTTGTCCATGCCTAGGTTTTGGAATCAACCGTGTGCCATGCAAGTTGAACCATCACAGTCTGCATAGTCCCAAACTTGATCTTCTCTATGTTAATCTTAAACGTGTGCTTCTGAACGAGACCTAGAACGATGTCTACGACTTACTAAAGATAAGCATCTCGTCGAGATCGACATCTATAAACTTATCTAAGTAGTGGCGGAACGCTCCATTCATCAAGTCGACTTTACCCTTTCAGTGTGACCGGGGCCTGCTTCTAACTCTTCACCACATGATAAACGTGGTCCACATGCTAGAACAGGTTTCTGAGCCACAGGAAGGGGAGGGAGAGAATAGACGGAGCTTGGGAGTCATCCGTCTGTTGTCCCTGCCATCCCTTTGCTGTGTTGAGCAAGAGCCCTTCCGCGCGGCTAGCCCAGATCCAGTGGTGGGCCCATGACCACCCGGTTCTGCTGTCCCGGATCCGACCGCGCCGAATCGATTGAGACAGCCCAAGCAGAATTGCGGTTGGGCCCAAAAAGAGCTTTTCTTTTCTTTTCTTTTCTTCTCTTTTCTTTTTTTTTCGACAGCATCTGACTGCGCTCGTCGAGAGCAGTCAGTCAAAATCTGCAGTAAAAACTTTCAACTAACAACTTTCTTTGGGGGAGGGTGCGGATGGAGCCAGGTGGCGGGAGGAGATGGGGTTTTGGGTAATTTACAAATTTCCCTTTGGACCGCGTTCTGCAGTACTTGCACAGACAGGAGACAGTCGAGCGGTTGAGTAAACAAGCTGCTGACTCGTCTGATCCCTCCTTGGTCCAAAAATGTTAATTCTG